GACTCAGGCCAGGGCTTGAACTCAGGACGGTCGGTCCTATCGGTCCTGAATTCGACGTCTTACTGACTGAGAAACGACTGATAAATAAGTTGCTCAAGGGGATTCAGCGAATAAGAGAAAGATTGCCCTCTACAGGAAATAAACCTCACACCTCCGGGGTTCTAAGCAGACCTCTTAAACAGCTGTCCAACACGCCACAAGAAGAGCATAAGCAATTACTCTGCCGTGCTTAGCTACGGTAATGAGGGGTTGACCATGACTGAAAAGCTTCGAACCGGGTACAAGGGCCTGAAATGGGCTTTCTCAGACGAGTCGTTGGCCATACGCGTCTCGACATAATCCAAAATACTGACATCCGCGAAAGCTTTAATGTACAGCCTTTGCTTAAGATTGAAAACTCACAGATTGGATGGTTTCGACGGGTGTTGCGAATGCCCGAGGCGACGCAACTATTACTCGCCTAGGCGACCGACAGAAGAGCCAGGGGACGGCCAAGGTTAACGCGGTGCAAGTGAGTTGAAGAAATCTTCTTTGGAATTCGGTTGTCTTCTGCCGAAGCTCAGACGCTGGACCAAGATCGGAAAAGCTGGAAGCACTGTTTGGCGCGTATGCCTCTGCAACCCGCATCCGAATGAGGAAAGGTCATGGAAAGCGAAGACATCGGCTACGGCGTTGTAAGAGAATAAGTTCCTTTCGAAATGCAGAAAGGAATTTGCTCCCATACTTTAATCTGTTGAAGTCGAGTAATCGGTTTATGCTCTACCGGTCTGTCTAGCAGGACCAACCTCGTTTTCTCTATTTTGTTAATTGCGTTTACTCACAAAACATTTGTCTGGAAGAGAGTTGAGTCATTTTGATTGTAGTATAGACCGGTTCATTAGTTATGTGTGTTCATGAACTTATTCGCATCAGCATTTGCAATTTAAAGGCCATAATCAAGCTTTCTCGTGCCCCAAGAACAGGCAATAATCACCGAAAGGCAACTGATTACAGGACAGGATTATTGAATGGCATTTTTCTAATACGGCTGAAATGGAGATCAGTCCTGAGCCCCAAACGGTCAGCCAAATACCCTATTGTGATAGGGTTGACAAATCTTAATATCTTTTGAGGAATAGGGTATTCTAACCAGAAACAGCAAGGCATAACCAGCGAGGTCGCCAGCATCGATCGTCAATTCTTGAAGAAGGCCAGCGAAAATTTACTTTATTCCTTTCGTCTACTTCTAAGCAGTGACGAATGAAAAGCCCGGGTGGCTGATCGATGACGTAAAGACAGTATTGTTCCCACTGTTTGAACGGTCAAGTGTAAAAGCATATGATAGTTCGGTTCTTGTCATCATGGCTTTGAAATGATGGTGACATTTGCAGTTATTTTTTTCTCATCGTTGCTTACAGTGAACGCAGCAAATCCAGGCATATGCGGTTCTGTTAGTTCATAGCGTCAGCAGTATCCAAACATAACCACGTACGTGCGTCCTTTCTGCATGGTTATTGGTTGGATTAGTGCACGGATAGCGGATAAAAGCCAAAATTTTATGATTAATGGAGCAAATGCTGATGCCTATATAGTTGCATATTGCTGTGTCTCATCTCTACGTCTTATAATAATGTTCATTTTTGTTACAGCCGCTATTGTGCCAAATTAAAAATTTAGCTACCCAAATATCGCACATGTTTCAAGGTAGTACTTTCACAGATTAAAAAACAGGTAAATTTTTTTTAACTTCGTTATTGCCTTAAAACGGAATAGAACGATGAGTCTTGACTTAATTCCCTCAGGATCGAAAATCGATTTGATGAAATGAAGTAGTTAACTCACACCATAGCGTGCGTTGTATCTGTCTATTTTTAGCCACCCAAAGCACCAGTGTCACTCAGAACAATGAGTTGAACATTCTGTTCGGAAATCACATGAAAATCATGAGAAACGCCGTTCACAAAGCCAAACAGGACCTGCGCATGACGGCGAACGAAAAGCAAATACAAGTAAGTTATTAAAATGTTTTTCTTGTGATTAGTGCAAGAGGCATTAAACTCTACTCTAAAATCTAACCGGCATTGTTTCAAGCAAGGCTAATCGTTAAGCAGCAGCGCTGCAGCGCGAATGGCAAAACAAAATTTAGGGATTAGGTAAAAAAGTGTAATGACGAATGCCTCTTTGCAAACACGATGCTAATTCGCTCTGGCCAACCTTTTCTTTCAGTCGTTCCCATATTTGAACAATCAGGTGTGTGGAAAAGTGCGTCAAGGCAAAGTGCGTAAAAGTAAACCTTCTAACTCGATCCTCTGCGGTGCCGAGGTAGA